CCACCCCATCACCCCACTACACCACCTCCCAATCTCCGGCACCGCCCCGATTCAGCCAGTGCTCCGGCGACGGTCCGGCCACTGCTCCAGCGATCACTCCGGCTGATATTTCGGCGACCGCTCCAACGATTTCAAAATTTTCAGAAAATTGAAAATCACACCCCCAACACATGGATCCACCTACCACCACCCCACCCCTGCCTCTACCTCCTAAAAAAATTACCGAAAAAATTTTAAGTCACTTTGTATAATTAGTGACTAATTGTGACCAAACGTGTATTCAATGTGACTAACTGTGACCAAATTAGTGTTCAGTGTGACTGACTGTGACCAATTTTGTGCTATTTGTGACCTATTGTGATTTGATTATGATCAAGTCACAAACGGTCACAACGAGTCACAATTAACCAGTCACAAACGGTCACAATCGGCCATAAACGGTCACAATCAAGCACAAACGATGAATATCGATGAAACGAATACTTCTATAGTCCAACTGGTGTTAAACACAAGTTATTTAGAACACTGCCCATAACCCATTATCACAACATAAGCAGCATGTAACATAAAAAGTACATAAAAAACTAAGGATAAAGTAATTTATAGAAAATTCGTTTTGTTTACCATAAATTTCATGAGACAATTAAGGCAGTCCAATACTTGCTGCATCAATAGATTAAGGAAAACAAGTCTCTACCATAGATAAACTTTAAAGAAGAACAAAAACGATGAAACTATTCAAATAAGCAACAAAATGAAGCAACAACTGACTTAATTAATTTCGGGCATTTTGCATAGAATCATGTGCATAGGAGTGAAAATTCCAGTCTCACCGCCTCTAGTCAGGTAATCCGCAGTGACAAAGAGCATTTCATGCACATCAACAACACCCTTCGGAGCAATCCCAACCCAAGCAAGAATTGTAACTAAAATGTGATTCCTCCAGTAAGCAATCCTCCCCATTTTAAGTCTGCTCCACCATGGATTTGCAGGTGACACCACACACAACAATGCAGACCACAAACACTTGTCCCACACTCCACACGCCACCGACACCACTACCAACACCACCAATCCTACCTCGCCACCACACACACACACAAATCACAAAACTACAATTGCCGGAAAACCTTAACAACGACGCTCATCAGCCAAAACCACAAACTACAGACATCATCGGCACTCAACTACAAAACACAACCCACAGTTTGACATCGCCGGTCAACATAGCCTCGGCGTTGCGCAAATTGAGAAGCGACCTCGCTCACGGTGGCCCTCGTGCGGCTGTTCAGAGTGACGGCGGCCTATGGCGGCTCGGAGTGGTGGTTTCGTCTTCGCAACGTTCGCGTGGTGGTTGTCGAGGTGCTGCTTCTTTAGAGCAATGCCGCTTGGTGGAGACGTCTTGTCCGACAGTGGTGGCAGTGGCGTAGACGGAACCGACGACGCTGCTCCATAGTGAAATTGAATATAGAGAAGAAGATGAAATCGCGAATCTGTTTGGGAAGGAGATGAAACCCCTTTTGCTGTCTGTCGGGAGTGACAGTAGAGACTGGGGGTGGGTGGTAGAGAGAGAGGATATTTGTGTGGTAGAGAGGGTGTGTGTGAGGAGACAGAGAAGGAATCCGGTTTGAATGGTTGATTAAGTTTTTATTAATTATAATTATTAATACTTAATTATCACCTGATTTGTGAAATAAAAATTAATCCACCTGTTTTTTGAAATGAATTTTTAAAAGTAGGTTTCTAGGTAATTTTCTCTAAATTTTACTTTTTATAGAAGTTAATTTTATAATGAAAATTGCACCCACTTGTCATGTGGGAAATTTTAAAAATGATCGCTGTTTAAAATATTTGTACGAATGACCATTTTATAAAATTTTACCTAAGAATACACAAGATTTCGAATAAATCTTTAATGTAGTTTTTGACTTTCTCGAATACTTAATATTATAGGTTAGTGTAGTTTTTTTTAGCAATTTTCTTGTTGATTTCCAAGTCTATTAGCTAATGGTCAAAGGATTAAGTAAAACCTCCAAAAATTCTTTTCCCAGTCGAAAAAGGGAAGAAGAATCAATTTTTTTCAGAAAAAATTTCTATCCTAAATTGAGGTTTCGGCAAGGGTCAATGTTTTGTCTAAATATATATGTGACCTTCTTGTAGCCTAGTTTGCTAATTCTAATTATGTTTTCATGTTTAATTTATACTGAAAAATTAAGGTGAATGAACATTCTTAATTCTAATATCTCTCTTTGCCGTACTTGCATTTTGGTTGGCAATTGTGTTTACATCACATGGTATGGCAAACGATTTTGTCATTGATTTGAACATTTAAAACAATCAATGGTGTCGATTTTTACACATCATGAAATGTCAATCAAAATGTATAAATGGAATGTACAAGTAGCTTAATCATGCTCTATTTTCTAGCTCTGTTCCTCCGCAAACCTACCCAATATCGGTCGATATAACAATTACATCTTGAGCGGCTAGTCTTCTGGTGCCAAGTATCAATGGTTTCAATGAAAATTTTGAGACTTGAACACAGGACATCCACTGCACGGTGTGATGGCATAAGCTTAGCTAACGTCTCACTCGCCAATCAACATGTCGGGATGCTGCGAGCTATCCTACAGGATCTCTAAAGCTATGTTTGATAGCCATAGCCATTATTTTACCTAGAACTAGGAAAAAATTTTCATTTTCTCCATTTTGGCTTGTTTGATATCCAATAATTTCCCTATTAAAAAATTATCACTTTAATGGACAATTTTCATATAAAACAAAGCCAAACGAATACAAAAAGATCCAAAATTTTAAAATTTTTCGGGTGAAAAATTATACCAATCAAACACTTAATTAACAATTCCCTGCAAAACAATTCTAGACAATTACTTTTCCTGGAAATCATTTTCTTTCCACCCATTTGCCACCGTCGCAATCAAACGCACTCCAATAGTTTATTGAACTATGTCATGAGTATAAAGAAATTTCACAAAATATACACAAAAATTTACTGAATTCATACATGAAGGAGGAAAAACTTAGATACACACATGATTTTTCCAATACAAAATTTTGTACAAAATCTAGCAACATTTCCTGTGCTTAAGAAATTATTCTAGTTTATTCGTGTCTTCTTCACTTGTAACCGGTACAGTCCAGCCTTGAAATGCTTGTGAGATCTCATTATTTTCTATCTTTATTATATTTTAATTCTTGCGTCAGGTAATAATGGGCATTTAATTGTCGTAAAATGTCAAACGGTAGTTAAACTCTACAATGACTTCAATGTTTCGTGATATAAAATCAAACTGTCAAAATTAATCTTTGGCTGGATTTGACAGTTCAACGATCTGACATAGTTGCGTTCTCAAGTTTTTACAGATTCACAAATTTCACCTCATATTTCATTTCGTTTGGAAAAGCTTGAAATATTGATAAAAAGTTGAAGCCAGAGTCGATAATTAATGTTATTTACTTTATTTTATCCACAACTTTCATCGACTTATCAAAATCCGCTAAAGCTTTATGAAGCTTTGTCCGATAACCATTATCCAGTCTACCATAACCAAAATACAATGATTGTACTTAATGGACAGGTATATCTTAAGCGCACACGATCATAATTTTGACACCATAAAACGACTGAGAATTCACAATAGTTTAAACCCCTTCAACAAGAAGACAAACTTCAATCTTTTTTAAGGCAGCACAACAAACAAACATAGCACTCCAGATATGAAATTACAGACGTACTCATTGGATGTCGGAACATCCAGGCTTGCAATAAAGCTAGTTCAGCCCAAATTTATTTAGAGTTCCAAATATGGTAGGTAGATGACGACAATAAGACGTTCTTGCCAATCCTTCCGAAATTTTCATCATTAAACAGCAAGATCAGGTCTCACCATCCCATATATCATCAACGGTTCTGTATGAGCCGAATTTCTCATGGACAAAGAAGTGACCTGTAACTTGTCTTTCCTGCCAAGTAGATAAAAACGTTTCTTATGAGCTGCAGAAAGAAAATGCCTTTCTTCTCAAAATGAAACTTTGTTTATAGTGTAAAGAAGGGTCTAAATGTGTAGCATCTGGGCAAAAATTTTAACACCAGAATCTTATTTGGTGATGCTGCACACCTGCATGTTTGGCAATTGAATTAAAATTCTCTAGTGTCCAATCAGTCTAACATGGCCAACGCCTCTTAAGTATGACTTAACAGTTGTACTAATATTTAATGACAAAAATATAAGGGATTCGCACGATGGGGTACGAAATAAAAAATTTCTAGGGAGTAGAGTATCTAATATCTAACTCTTCTCAGGTGCATTTGCAAAATAATTTGTTGCATTACTCATAACTGCCCGTGTCAGTAGAAATATAACGATAAATCTTCAAGGGATTTAATGAAAAATGAAAATAACTTGCCTGCTCAATTTCGGAGAACTTGGCAAACAAGTCATCAGGTATAGACCAATTGAAAACATCAAAGTTCTCTTTGATCCTTGATTCACTTGTGCTCTTGGGAATTACGCTATGGCCCATCTGCAAACCCCATCGAAGAGCAACCTGAGCGGGAGTTTTACCCAATTTTTCTGCTGTAGCAACTACAACAGAATGCTTGAGGACATTTCTCTTGTACAGCGCCGTTGCAGGTGAACCAAGTGGTGAATACCCCTTTTAAGAAAATTAACAGGTTATTAAAATGCAATAAATCAACTATAAGGGTAAAGTGGAAATCCAGCAATTATGATTATCAAAATGAAATATAACCACCCCCACAACCACAAAGGAATAGAAGCTTCATCATTCTAAAGACAAGAACCAAACGAGCAATGTGAATTATCAAGTAACCAAGTTTGCCAACTCACAGTGAGGTGAACTCCCTTTGATTTACAGAATTCTCGTAGTTTTGTCTGCTGCCAAATCGGATGGCACTCAACTTGCACAACAGCAGGAGGAATGCGAGCTACACCCAATAGATCACCCAGCTTTTTGGAGGAGATATTGCAAATTCCAATAGCTCGGACCTTACCAGAATCATAGAGTGCTTCCATAGCCTTCCATGTGGTAGGTATGTCCACTGGAACAAAGTCTTCTGGATTCATGCCAACAGCCCCCTTCCTCAGTCGGGCAGGCCAATGGATCTTCACAATTAGAGAGGTCCATTCATTAGCCCATGATATAATTTTTCAACATTAAAGATACAAAGTATCCCTCTCAAAGAAGAAAACAGAATGGGCTAATTATGCACCACCTATTACAAAATATTTCAACTTTGAAAGCCAGGAAAGCAGACAAATAGTTACAGAGAAATTGGCAATGGCATTGTGGTCACCTCTATGGAACAAGCTGATTCTGCGTTATTATTTTCATTAATGCACAGTTTCTTATAACGTCATCTTGCATTAACTCTTAAACGGTCAAAAACTTTATAAAATGTTAATAACACAAAAAATTGCGTACAAGATACAAATCAAGATAGTCAAGCTGCAAATCTTTCAATGATTGATCTAATGCCACGGGTACATCTTCTGGTGCATGATCGGCACACCTGCAAAAGTTAAGAGGTCAGTTGTAGCTTGAATGCTTAAAAAGTCAATCAGTAAAGACCAGATGTTAAAGAGAAGAGTAAGATGAAGCAATTAATATATGAAATGTTCAAGCACCTCAAGACTAACTAATATCAAACCCAACCCAAACAGAAAGTGAAGCAGAAAGTGCATAGAGTATTTGTAACTATATAGCATACAAATTACAGAAGTGATAGTACCACTGCATTACGCACATCCATTATAGTGGAAAACTAGTTCCTGCCACATACAATGGATGTTCTAGTTTCACACTTCAAGTTGAAGTCTCTCACATTGACAAGTTTCATCAATAGCTTTACGTAGCAAATAATCAAATTCAAAAATTTAACAATCAAATTGGGGTTCCGCATTTTCCCAACTGAAGTTAGAACCAGATCACTTCTTGAATAAATTTGTGAACATAATTCAATTACCAGAGTTTGGAAGTAATAAATAAATCCTCCCTCTTCACAATTCCATCATCCAACAGCTTCTTTAAAACTGAACCTATCTGCAAAGAAGGAACAGAAGATGAGTCTCACGTACATATACATTTACATATACATATAGTCATAGTACATGTGAATGTGGTTTCCCATTTTGACCCCCAAATGTCCCATTGTCCCTTGATACAAAACGGGACAAAAGCCTCATTATCCCAATGCGCCGTTGTGTGAAAATTGAAGCTATTAGAGAACTTTCCACACAGTCTGCCAGTGAAGCAACTAAATCACTACCCTCAAATTGAATTACATTCTTCATTTCAAGAGGAGAAATCCACAAAAACACACACAGCTTAATAATGTATCTTTACATAGAGTAAAACGTATCTTGCGCCCCCATAACAGCGATGGAATGAAAATATACCTCCTTTTCATTTCCATAGGATCGAGCACAGTCAATATGGCGGTATCCAACCTGCATAAAAGCAGCAGGGATTAATAGACTATAAGTTATACAAATACAGAAAACGACTATTCACATTTCCAAACTAGAAAATCAACGAATGGGCACACAACATTTTTTCCACACTTTTCCATCAAATTTCATCTGCTGCTCATGTATTCTTAAAAAAAAAAAAAAAAAAATCTGAGCTAACCACAAAGGACATCAAACGTGAGCAGACCAAATCCAAACACGTTAAGCATACAACTCTCATATGAATCATACTTCATGATTCATTCTCAAAATAATTCAATAATCACCAGAAAATGCTATAACAATCTGACCATGGCCGAAATTGCCGTTGCTCTGTGTTAATGCACTGGCTAGCACTAACACAGAAGGACAAATTAACAAAATAACCAGAAGAACAAACGCTGCAACAAATATTTGACATATGGACGATCCTTCGGATATAAAGCATGTAGTCCGCTCCTAGGCTCTAGCAGAGGAGCAGAAATTAGCACTGTAATAAGTTTACCGGCCAATATATTATTACAAATATTCGACAAACATCATCGCCAAATCCTTTTTTGTGTCCAACTTTTTTTTTTCCTATCAAATACCTGAAATTGGAGTGAGACCAAACCCCATAACATTTTCTAAATTTAAACTCAAAATTTCTGAACCCAAACAACTCTAAATATACTAAATAATCCCAATATACCTCAGAATCACAAAACAATTACACCGAAATTTCAGTATGCAAAAGATCACAATAAATTAAATATAAAATATACATTTCCACATACAAGTTCAGTTAAAAAAAAAATTACACAAAAGTTCATTTTCCACTGAAGATAAAAGTTATAACACACGCACGCACAGAGTACATATGTATGTAGAGAGAGTGGCGATAGGCGACCTTGATGGCGATTTCAACAGCTTGACCGACGACGCCTGGCTGGGACTGCCACGTGCCAAGGCCGACTGAGGGAATCTTCGCTCCGGTGTTCAACTCGAAGAACTTGATCTCGTTCGCCATGACCCAGATTCACAATTTTCTATCTAGATAGATCTAGTCTAGACTAGATAACTTAAAAGGT